AGAGGAGGGCGGGGTTTCCCACCAAGCGCGGGAAATAGGCTAAGGTTATAGCCCCTCCCAAATTTTACTTGCATTCCTGTTCTCTAAAGGGGCGGTCCTAGGGTTTGATGAGGGCGTGGCCAGGTTTGGGTGGGGGCGTGGCCAGGGGAGGGAGGTGAGTTCCACCACCTTTTCTCTGAGAAAAAAAGCCCTGAATAAAACTAACCTTTGTATTCCATGAACTCACAAGGGAGTGAGAGTAATGAGGATGGGATCGGTGCACTTCAGAGCTGCTGTTGTGTTCTAATTGCTTCAGATTTTCCTTTAAAAAAAAATCACATGGAGAATGAGGAAAAAGTGAAACCGATTACTGCAGAGCTCCAAATTGGAACGACTTAATATTAATTCAAAAGCATAATCAGCAAGCATTTTAGTTTATAATGCTCAAAAATGCAAGGCTAGAGGCATGTATCTGGACCTCCCTATATTCATGTTTTACATTCATTTCTCTCTCTCATTTTTAGCAAGCTTCATTGCATTCATTTCAATTCCTGGGATCCTAACAAGGAATGGACTGTTGATATGCTGCAGGATGAAGACATTGAAGCTGTTTGTTTGGGCCAGGGCTGGGCTGCATGTGCCACTAGTTCTCTTCTGCTTCGTGTGTTCACCATTGGTGGAGTTCAGAAAGAGATTTTCAGTTTTCCTGGACCTGTGGTGTCGATGGCAGGACATGGAGAGCAGCTGCTGGTGGTCTTTCACAAAGGTGCTTTCTGTATTCTTTTATTTGTTGTTTAGTTGTTTAAATTTAAAATGTTGATTATTCAAATCTCTTTCAGGTTCCTTGTATGATTGGGGAAGGGGTGTGGCTGCACAGTGTTTTCCAGGACCAGGAATTTCCCCCAAAATTGACCTTAGAAAAAGTTTGATGTTGAAATGAGCCCTTCTACATTCTGACTCTAGGGCAAATTTAAATCAAACATTTGGTCATTCTGCATAATTCCCTCTTTAATTTTTTTAAAGACCATGCCATTATAGCTTTGAATTTATTAACTCATCCCATTTCCAAGTAGAATTGAAATTTTAATTTTAGTCACATGACTAAGCTGTCTTGAAGTATCTAAGAACTGCATCTGTCACTTTCTGTTACTTTTATCCAAAACTAGAATTTGCCACCTAGTTCTAGTGCTTACATTTAGGAAATCTTGAGCTAGGAAGCTTTTTTAATTAAGTAAAATCATTCAGTACTGTCAAATCTGCCAATAGCAGTAATGAAAAACCAGAACACTTTATGTTGTGTGGCTGCTTTCCTTCTGGGTGGAGATATTGAGCATGTAAGTCTGCTCTGTCATTCAGCCATGATTCAGTCTGGCTTTCTATTGTTTGTCTTTATTTTTTTTAAAGATGCAATATTAGTAAAGGTAGAAGTTAAGGATTCAAAAGACTGCAAACATTATTCTACAACTCACAGTGATTGCTGTAAAAGTAGAATAATGATAATTACTATACTTATTAGAATTTTATTCGGACAAATATTTTAGATCTCATTTCATGAATATAATTTTATGTTCCTAAAATAATTTTAAGTTCCAAATTATAGTCATGTTGACAATGTTTAAAATTACTCAGTGAATAGAATTCCATCACAATCATTCAGTAGCATAAAGAAGAATTTGCATCTGCGCAGCTAAATTCTTTCCTTTTCTTTACCCTTCCCCACAACTTTTTAGTGTGACTTACTTTGGTCAGAATTAACACTGTACCTTTCCCACTCCCACCCTTAATTGTAGGCACTGGATTTGAAGGGGATCAGTGTCTTGGAATTCAGCTTCTAGAACTTGGGAAAAAGAAAAGACAGATTTTACATGGTGAATCACTTCCTCTTTCCAGGAAATCCTATTTAGCCTGGATAGGATTTTCAGCAGAAGGTAAGATGGTTCATATAAGATATAATTAAATCCTAATTTATTATTTCATTAATGAAATAATATTGAGGGACAGTGAATGTGATCAAGTCCTTTGTACATTTGCAGTCCTCAACCCCGTTTCATATCAAACACTTTCCAGACATCAGGAATGGAACACATCGCATGCTTAGTTGATTAAAAATTATGCATCCATTATTGATGTTAAAACAGTGCTGTTGGTTTCTAGGATGAAAGGGAAAAGGAAATGGGTGGACTACATTGAATGTCCATGTATTTTTACTCTGGGTTACCAGAAGAGGGAGTTATTGCCAAAGTTTGCTACAAATCTGTTGATTTTCTTCAAAATGTTTTGTACTTTTTAATATACGTGATGATGATGATGAGAGATGTAGCGTTTAACATGATGTTCATTCATGAACCTCTACAGCTGCTTCAAAGAAAACTGATTGTCGAAACAAAACTATGTGCTTTTCTAATGAATAACTAGGTACTCCCTGTTTTGTGGATTCTGAGGGTATTGTACGAATGCTGAACAGAAAGCACGGTAATATTTGGACCCCAGTCTGTAATACAAGAGAGCACTGTAAAGGGAAGTCAGACCACTACTGGATTGTTGGCATTCATGAGAACCCTCAGCAGCTCAGGTACAAAAATAATTTAAAATGGTCCCTGTTCTTTAGGACAGGGCTTTTCAACCTTTTCACCCATTGTGCCACTTTTAGGATATGGCAACGGCCGAGTACCACTAGTCGCCTACCAAGGTGTCAAAAACTTGATGACCTCCCCTCCCCAAAAGGAAAAAAAGTGATAAAATACAGGTAGTCCTCGACTTACAACAGTTCGCTTAGTGACTGTTTAAAGTTACAATGGCACTAAAAAAGTGCCCCCCAAGCCACAGCTGAGCAAGACACCTGCCTGCCCGCCCGACAGTGCTCTTCCTCCTGTCCAAGGTTTTCACTGTTGTGAGCATTTCTGCTGAGGATTGATAGAGGGGGTGGGCTGGGGGGGGTGTTTGGTTTTTATCCCCCCCCCCCCCGTCTCCTGGGTGGCTGCAGCAGGTTTTGGTCACTTCACATGACTCTGGGACACTGTGACCGTCATAAATATGAATCAGTTGCCAAGCATCTGAATGTAAATCACAAGACCCTGGAGATGCTTCAATATTCCAGCTGATTGGCGCTTCTTCTGGGCTCAGCAGAAGCGCCAGGATCAGTGCTGCTTTCCAGCTGATTGGTGCTTCCACTGAGCCCTGACAGCCCTGCAGCTCCAGCCGTCTCTCGCTCAGGCTTGTGCGGTGCTGCCACCAGTTTAGCTCATTCCCCTCCCCTGCTACCACTTTTCTAGGATGGTCGCGTACCACCTGCCAGGTGCCAATGTACCATAGGTACCACTGGTTGAAAAGCCCTGCTTTAGAAGAGTGTTCAACACAGAAATATTCAAACATCTCTTGAAAGATCATTTTCTCAATCATCCTTTCTTGTCAGCTTCCCACCACCTTATTTCATTTAAACTAGAGCCTCCCAGAATTATTATTATTTTTTTACTAGAAAGAGGCCTGTGGAACTAGCAATTCACCTGCCATATGCACAAAAATATTGTGTTCTTCCAATTCCCCTTTCAAGTAACTCTTTTCTTGGAAATTCATTAAAGCCTCAGAAAATGTCAGCCTGGGAAGATGAGTATGAATGAAAGTCATTGTGGGTTTTTCCCCCCCTTCTCGCTCATCCAAGATAAAATGATGATGGAAAACACATCATTTAAACACAGTTTAAAAAGAATGTCTATGAAAATGTTACTTTCATTGAAGGCTTGGTTTTAAAAGAGTGGCTGATTGGGTTAGACATTTAGATTGTGAAAACACTTTCCAGATAATATTTTTAATTAGTTCATTGAACAAGAATGATGCACTTTTAATATTTATTAGGCTTCATTCCTTTAATCCCTAATGTAACATAATAGACAATGAAATATAATTAGTAGAATGCCAGTAGCAGAGTTGTGGATATAAGAGATGGAATTTGAAACCCTCTCTAACCACATTTATGCTCACAACCTTCTAGTCTCATTTGATGCACTTCTCCAGTGAATTTGGCATCTTGATAAAGCAGTTTTTTCTTGGCTCAGCCTTGCAAAGAAGCTGATTTAAGTTACTCATTTGATTAATTAAATGCAAGAGATGGAAACTAATCAAGGAGAGAAGCAACCTAGAACTAAGGAGAAACTTCCTGACAGTGAGAACAATTAACCAGTGGAACAACCTGCCTCCAGAAGCGGTGAATGCTCCAACACTGGAAGTTTTTAAGAAGAGACTGGACAGCCATTTGTCTGAAATGGTATAGGGTTTCCTGCCTGAGCAGGGGGTTGGACTAGATGNGGAGAGAAGCAACCTAGAACTAAGGAGAAACTTCCTGACAGTGAGAACAATTAACCAGTGGAACAACCTGCCTCCAGAAGCGGTGAATGCTCCAACACTGGAAGTTTTTAAGAAGAGACTGGACAGCCATTTGTCTGAAATGGTATAGGGTTTCCTGCCTGAGCAGGGGGTTGGACTAGATGACCTACAAGGTCCCTTCTAACATTATTATTATTATTATTATTATTATTATTATTATTATTATTATTATTATTATTATTATTATTCATTGATTTGCCTAAAATGGCAGCATATTATTAGGCCAGTCCATAGTTAAGATGACTGTGACATTATACTTTCTGTGTGAGCAATCTTCTCTTGTCTGACTTTACTAAAAGCTCTGCTAAGTAATTATAAAACATGGCATCTTACATTAAATGAATTAAAGTGACAAAGGAATAATTCTTCTATTTTTAGAGAACTCTTATTTGGATGCTAAATAAAGTATTTGCCTATTCAAGGCTTAGAGAAAACTCAGGTTTTTTTTTCCTAAAATTTGTTAATTTTTAGCCTGATACTAAAAAGAAATTGAGAAAAATGCAAACTTCCTCTTCTTTACATGTATACTGCTGAATGTGTAGACAATTTGTCCATGCTATGGTGACTCTGGGAAGGAGAAGGGGGTTGCATTATATCTTTTGATTCTGTATTTTTCTTGAATAGATGCATTCTTTGTAAAGGAGCTCGTTTTCCAGCTACGCTTCCCCGTCCTGCGATAATAGTGCTGCCATTTAAGCTCCCTTTTTGTCAAACTGCAACAGATAAGGGTCAAATGGAGGTGGGTAATCAGAATTTATAATTAAGATCATTTGTACGGTTTAGTTGCAGTTGCATATAACACACACACAAACACAAACTACATATAGAAACAGTGGTCCTACTTGCATATGTATGTCTCAGCTTTAGGATGATGGTATGCATTCTGTGGCAATATTTATACATAATGTATAGACTACATTATGTATTAATTTCTCAGCTGTTCCCCCCTCCCCAATAAAGCCAGCTAGCAAGTTCCTAATCCTTAAAATTGCCAAGTTACACTTGGAAGCGTATGGATACCATCTGCTGAAATCTTGAAAGCAAGAGGGGGGTGAAGATGAATAATCTCTCAAGTTAAGAGCAAAGCTTTTGACGCTATATATCTAAATGTTTGCATGGTTGAAAGGATGTTTATTTACTTTATTTTGATTTTGTAAAGTTACGTTTACATTTTCAAATGAATTCAAATTCCAATTAATGTGTTCTATTTTGTTTGCCAGTTTCTAGCCCTTTATTTAATTATCACAATTTCAGAGTAATTTATAAACTTCTCCTGGTTCAGTACTATATTTTATATTATGTATCTTGCAGCCATGATAAAATAGTTGCATGAACTATGTTTTTCTTTCCTTTCTCTGCGTGTCGTAGGAGCAATTCTGGCGCTCAGTCTTGTTCCACAACTATGTAGATTATTTATCTCAAAATGGATATGAATATGATGAAAGTGTGAAAGGCCAGGCAGTCCAAGAACAGCAGAATCTCCTGATGAAAATGTTTGCAGTAAGTGGGTAAAGTTATACATCTCTCTTCTTCAGTCTAATGCAGTGGTTCTCAACCTGTGGGTCGGGACCCCATTTGGGGTCGGTCGACCATTTCATGGGGGTCGCCAAGCAAGGCTGTCCGCCATTTTTTTTGTCTGCCATTTTTTCCCCCTTTTCCGGCGGGTGCCTTACCTCCCTTGGGCTGGGCCAGCTGGTGGTCGGCCTGCTCCGTCTCTGCCGCTTGCCAGCTACGCCTCGGCCGGCGCAGGGGGCAGAACCACGCATGCGCGGCGCTCCCGGGCAGGGAAAGTCCTCGACTTACGACCGGTTGGGTAGTCCTCGACTTATGACCAGTTTAGTCCTCGACTTACGACCAGTTGGGGTCGCAGCATTAAAAAGGTTGAGAACCACTGGTCTAATGCCTTTCAGTTGTACTAGATTTCAGCTTCTGCTAAGCCTCAGACTACCAAACCGATACAGGAGTTAAAATAAAACATCAGAAGGGCACCACACTGGGGAGGATTATTTCAAATTTACCTGAGTAAAATTTCTTAGACGGTTGATTATTATATTACTTAAATAAAAAATCCTATTCAATGATTTTTTTTCTTTGTATTTTGTTTTAATTGTTCCACACAATCGTTTATTCCAGAGTTAACTTTTATTAACTCTGAAATGGACAAGCAATATTTTAAGCACAAAACTAGGCAAAATGTAACTTGTTAATATAGGTACTGTAATGTTCAGTGTAAGTTAGACAGTCATCCCGGCCAATCGACAGAAAAAAATATTGGAAGTGTCCATAGCAAACTGAGATAACATCAAAAAGATGAGATGTGCATCACAACCCAGTCTTGCCTTTAAATGCTTGCATCCTGATGTCTGATGCATGCGTGTAAGTTGTGAGTTTTGTGTCATGATACTGCTTCATTGCTTGCCTTCTTCCCAGGGCCGTAGGTAATTTGACTGTGGACAGAGCTGCTGCAAGAGAGGAACCAAAGCACCGGCATAAAGCTGGCAGGGAGGCTCAGATAAGGAGAGGATCTAAGGCAGAAGAAACTTGAACTAGAGGAGATGAATGTCTTTAGGCACTTGTGTCAGGAGTAGCAAGAGCTTTGGGAAGCAGAAGGCCAGATCCAGAGATAAAGGAAGACCAGGCTCAGGAAATGAGTCGCCTTGATCAGCAATTTATGTTCAAAGCTCAGGCTCTTAGTGCCAACCTAGAAATGAAATCAATTGTGTGACTATCCTACCATGTTTTATAAATAGCCTCAGGAAGCCTGAGTATTCTTGTAATTATGGGGCGAAGACTGAGAATTTAACACTTATCTGTACTTGCCAGGATCCTAGTAAAAATGGCCTATCCTAGCCAAGCCCATTTGTTTTTCAAGATAAGCCTGTTTCAACTTCCTTGAAATATAAAGGAGAGGCCATTTTTGGAGAGGAACCTGAGAAGGAGAGAGACTCTTAGTCTCCTTCTTCCTCAGCCCATACTTCTGCTCACTCAGGCTTCCCAGTGGCTTTTATGTACTGTGCAGGTTAATTATTAGATAGGTTTGGTCCTTGCCTACAGTATATTATAGCCATCTGCTCATTATTGTAATAGAATGTTTGAAAAGCAGAAAGAGACACGGATTTCTTGAACTCGCTATTTTTTTTTTAATTTAAAAAACTACTATATAATATGGAAGTTCTCTGTGTCTTAAATATAGTTTTTCTCCAGTGGATGTTTCACCTGCAGTTTTCCGGAGATTGCTCACTTTGCATCATAATTGGAGTTATTTTCACAGCTACGAAATGGCCTTATAAGCAAATAGCTGGGACTCATTCTGTTCTGGCCTGGATGTGTTAGGGTTCCTTGAATTTCCGTCTAGTAAAGAATGAAAGAACTGAATGTTCTATTTTAGAGAACAAACATTTTTTTATCCTTTTTCCCCCCAAATAAATATTTCTCTGATAAATATTAAAACTTTTTTTTCCCCTCTTTGCTTTAAAAATAGTTATCTTGCACACTGGAACGTGAATTTCGCTGCATGGAGCTTGCTGAACTCATGACACAAAATGCCACGAGCTTAGCTATCAAATACGCCTCTCGCTCACGGAGGCTGATTCTTGCCCAGAAGCTCAGTGAATTTGCTGCGGAGAAGGTCTCAGAGCCGGCATCTACTGAAGAGTACGC